TTTTTCCAAATACTCTACAATATCGCGTCGATCTTGTCGTTTCTTTGCCTCTCGAATTTCTTCCCCCTCTTCACAATACGAAATATGTTTTTTTTTTATGGTTGACATTTCATATTTTAGCGCTTCAGATTCTTGTGCTAATAATCGGACAACTGGACTACGTGGATAACCTCGTCTAGTGAATATGTTGAAGGTGTCTGTACCCTCTAAAACGTTGAATACCGTGAAGTCAGCGTTCGGCGTGATATGCCAAGTTTTTGGATAGGATTTCTGGACTATCCTAGTTTCACGAATGTCGAGCAGTATGTATGACTTTATGGGTATCGGCGAATATCGGCCTCCTAAAAATTGTTTATCGACAAACGAAAGTGTTCTTAAAAAATAAAAAAAAATCAAATTGCCTGCTACTGTCTTATCATATTCTTACCGTCTTGAAATCGTTCGTGGTGCCGTTTTAAGTCGATGCCATCAATTAAAAGTTCGATTGCCCACTGAGGTTCAGAAATATAGAAATCAACTGCTCCATCAGTAGCAAATATTCTTCCTACATCAGAAGATATATGCATCTCGTCCGGTAGGCAACTATATATCGCCGTATAAAACTCCATCTGCCATACACGCTCTAACAATCGAGTTCCATCTTTTGAACGTCCCATATTGTGAGTTAAAGCCTTTGAATTTATTCGTGACAAAGCCTCACGTACAAGTTCTTGCAAAGTGAAACCATCTTTCAGTGGTTTCTTGGAGCGATGGAAGAATGACAGCAATCTGGCTGCTGGCGACAAAAATCTAGCTCGGCTTTCCCCAAATTTGGATCCTTCGTCATCTACATAAGATAATATACCAGCTTCAACCAAAGCGTTGACTGCCTTGTCAGGATTATGGGAATTCACAGGAAGTTCATCCTTGAGAAGCAGCTCGTCGATGAAATTTCCCTCGATTACATTAAAATTGTAAAGGTGAGCGCCTCTATGTGCTTTAATATGTTCCATAAAATCCGAAGAGGTGAAATACGACATTATTTCCTTGGCGGTAGTGACCTTGCAACTTGTGTCTCTATATGAAAAATAGTTATCCACACCATTAAGCATCCACCTAATTAATCCCAAGTGACCAGAAGTAAAGTCCATTATGTATTGAGCGATTTTTTTGCTGGCATTTATCTTTTTCTTGCTGTTATGAGAGTTAAATGCATCAACCAGCTCTGATAGTTCAGATTGAGTGCAGCGAATTAATTCGAAACCAAATTCCTG